GCCAGACCACAGTGATGAGGGTACCGGGGTCGTTTCTTACTCTTCTCTTATAAATGGATAAGTTCACTGTCAGAAAGGAGCCCTCTGCCCTGCAGACCGGCTGGCTGGGCGCTGTGCAGGACACCCCATCAGCACCTCTGTGAACTGTGTCTGGGCTTCCTCCTGTGTCTCATCCTCAGGTCCCATTAACAATGAACTCGCAGACTCAGGGGATTTGCAGCAGGGTTCATTTCCTCTTCTATTTCCCCCCCTCCCCAAAAAGACAAAAATTCCAGCACAATGATTGTCAGCATTCTGAGGTCAAGACTGGTTTGTCTCTGCTGGCTTTGATAAAGGAGCTTCATTATTACCAAGAATGTTGATTTTCAGAGTTGCTGGTTGAATAGATGGCCCATACAAAGTTCGCGGTTCGGGTAAAAACTGGTTTTCCGTGTTCTTCATGTTCATCCTTCAAGTTCATGTCCATTGCCATCACCACTGAGTGCCTCTTGCTCAGGGTAGGAGGAGGGCATAAATCCTGCCTGCTTAGAGCACAACCCAGGCCATGTGTTGCCGTTCTGGCCAATACTAATCAACACTCCCCTCTCCTTCCCCCTCGTGTCTGTGAGTCCAGAGGCCCTAGTGTCAGTCACTACGACTGACTTGCACTATTGTAAGTACAAGCTAGGCTCCTAGACCACTCTACGAGTGCCTTGGCTTCAGGCTAAGCCAAGAAGCTGGAAAAAGCCAGCGTTACACAGGCATGAGTTGCTTTAGCTGAACTTTTTTTACACGAAGCTTATGAGTCTGAATGTTTAAATCTAAATTCTGCACCTTCCCCAGCTGTTGTAAGGAAGCTGGGATCCGAGACCAAAGGGGCGGCTCCTTACACGTTGTATGAGAATTTTCTTTCCTGGACTCAAAGATGTGTTGTTTCAAATTCTTGAGGTTCTAATGACAACAGTTTCTCAGTGATGTATGGTCTTAGGATTCAGATATTTTAATCATATCTTAACCCTCTTCATGGATGAATCAGCAGAAAAAGATGTCACTTTGTTTCACTGGGAGATGCTGTGTCCCCCCACCTGGGAAACCCAACTTTCGCCTTTCCCTGCCGTTTGTGCAACTGGAATATTAATTTCCTGCTCTGGCAAGGCACATGGTCTAGGGCACGGTTCCCTTTTGCCCCCTTCCTGCTGGAAACAGATTGTTTCCAGACCAACTGAGCAGTGTAGGAACCCCCTTCCAGGCTTTGCTCACCAGACGCTGCCCGCCTGCGTGGACGTGTTCCATGCACAGATTTATGACTTTGGAGCTGCTCAAATGCCTGCTGACTTTTATTTTTTCCATCACACAGTATTTCTTCCAATTTTTTAGTTTCCCATGTATTTACTATTTTTGAGCAGAACAATTCCAAGCCAACGTTGCTAATCAGTACAGTAAAACTCACCCATTCAAGCGGGGAGCTTGAACTCTTCCAATGAGGACAGGCATTGGCAGTACAAGTTGGAGGCCTGTTTCCTCTTCCAGAAGATGAGGACTCAAAGTTGGGTAACCAAAGTCCCTTTTTCTACTAATATTAAAACCACATTTCATCAAGTCTAAGATGGTGCTCATTACAGGAAACTTGGTATTCAACGTGGCACCAGGAAAAGAGCATTTCAACATGAGCCTCCAGGTAAACAGTCTCAGAACACCTTTAAAGACTCACCGATGATGCATGGATTGGTCACCCAGACCCTCTGTGGCTGTGAAATCCACTCAGATGAATTTGGCAGCTTCCCCTGCCCTTGGTTGTGTTGTTTGGCCTGAAATAGGCAATCCTCTTGAATGTTCTCAGTAACAAAATGTAACAGCACTTTTCGGCTCCCTTGGGGGTGTCTTTCTTTCCAAGACAATAAAACATTTGCTTGTCTCTTTGCAAGAAAATATGGAATTGGGATTCTGTGCTGACAGTGAATATTTGCTTCATTGATATCAAATTTACTCTGTGCTGCTCTGTTTTTGAGGCTTTTATATGCATGCTACAAGTTTTCATCTTATTTAATAGTATTGGATGATTATGTGATCTTTTCTAAGACATTTATAAGTGGTGGTTAGACTCAATGGTGTAGTACCAAGTGTGTATGCAACTGTGTGTATGGAAGGGACTGGAAGGGCACTTACGATTGCCTTGGCGGTGGACAGGCAGGGGCATCTGCATCCTAACTGCCACGTGGTGACAAACTGTACCAGCCCATCAATCACAGATGCGTCCTGACCGCAGACACGTTAAAATATGAAAATAAACATCTTGTGAATAGCACAGATGATTATGAAAATAGTTTCGGTCTCATGAGAGTGGACTGGCAAAGGACTAAACCCCGGATGAGAATTAACGTCAGCCAAACCTCACCGTAATGCGAAAGACATGTGCAGGTTGGGAAATTTAGCCAAACCGATAACAATTTCCCCAGGTCCCCCCACTGGCTAAATTTCAGAACAGGGATTCAAATCCAGACAATTGGACCTTGCACGCCGCCAGTTCTGTGGATCCTATGTGCGTCTTCACGTAGACTAAATGGTATTCTATTCCATTTCCTCTTGAGAATATGAGGCATCACTCAAATAGGCCCTCAATGGGTTATTAAAATAGCTCAATAATATAGAGTTTTACAAGAATAATTTATAAGTAGCACATTCGTTATATGCAAATAGCCACTTTTTACAGAGACTCGTTGGTAAGATTTCTGCCTCAACGGCTTTGGAAGCTGGCAGGGCTACCTGTGGCCACCCTTACTGTGGTAATTACATTATCAGCGCCATTCCCTGACCAAACCTAGCCTAGGAGCTGAGACAGCTTCTCAGTGGCAGTGGAAGGACAGCTTGTTCACGGCAAAATACGGACTCCAGACCAGCTCGAACACTGGCCTCCTGAGCCCTGGGTGTATTCCTTCCCCACCTCTCTCTATTCTATTGCACGGCTAACTCGCCTTTCACGTAGACTTTGGTTCTTGTTTTCTTTTGTAATATGGACAATGAATGGATAGAGAAAAAAATGTTTTTGTTAAAAACCGTAAAAGCTGTTTTACTCTGCCAAGCCGAAAGATATGAATGACATTTTTCAGGGCACAGGGGCCCTGGGGCTGCCTCCAAGGAACGAGGGAGGCCCTTTCACACCCGCCCAGAGGTACAGAATGGACCCCACCAAGCCGGTCTCTGGGGAATAGCAATGCTCAGTAAACCTCTGTGGCTTTGTGGCAAGAGTGATTCTGTTTCCATGGACAATTAAATATGGAATCTAGGAGGAGGCTCATACTTATTTACTGCTGTGGGAGTGAAACCCGAAAGAAAACAGTGAAGAGTGAGAGTGTGCACGACTGAGGGCTTTTCACTATCGAAATAGAGCCAGCAGGAAAGAACTGCCCAACAGCTGAAGACGGCCAGCCTCCTCAAGCCCCAGTCAGGTAGACACCGTGACAACTTTCATCAATTTGCATTCTGGCAAACTGTAGCAGAGAGATTGCTTTAAGAGAACACAATGGGCATCTTTTAAAACATTGTTTTCCCGAATCATTCATTCATTCATTATCAAGTCATTCATTCACTGGCAAGTGCTTACTGAGTGGAAGGCAGGGGACAGGTAGGGATGAGCAAATCAAGTTCTAACTAATGAACTAATAAGGTCTAACCCGTGTATGTGACGGGCTGGACGACAGCAGCAGAGCCCGAGGCCTTTCTAACCTCCTTGCTGGTTTTGTCACAGCTGTAAAGGTGCCTCCCACTACGGCCTCACCGAAGACCGCAAGAGGCGCTCCCGAGATGGCTGTGCAGAGGGCTGGGCGAGCCTCATGGCCACGGCACTGTCCCCAGAGATTTCTGCAGCTGCCACCATCTCCTTAATGTCGGACGAGCCTGGCCTGGACAACCCTGCCTATGTGTCCACGGCGGAGGACAGCCAGCCAGCACACAGCCCGACAGACTCCGGCCGGAGCAGCCGAACTAGGGGTGAGTCAAATGGATTGTTGCCCGGGAATGGGCTCCTTGCCTTGGATGGCCCCCTACAGAATACTTACTGTGGAAAGTTCTAGAAATGTTTTTTTAAGGGGAAATCATTCTGGTAGTTTTGGCAGCAACCCAATGCCCAATTCTCCAAAGTAAAATGAAACCACAAGTACCTCAGATCATTAAAATTGTGTGTAATCCGACTTGGTGACAGGGGTTGAAACTAGACCTCATGATTCATCACTCCCGCAGTGTCAGGGACTTCTCAGCCATTACTGCTCCAGAAAAGTGATATTACATTCAGTCCAGACCAGAAAATAAGAAAAGCAGACGTTCCCCGTCAGCTATACATATTGCATTGTATAGAAAACTTAGAAAATATAGATAAGCAAATTCTATAATCCTACCACCTTGAACTAATCACTGTTAATGTTTTATTCTACATTCTTATCCGATATGTACATAAAGATGATTCCTATTCACGCAAAGGTCCTGTACCTCTTGCCTCTCTTTTTCTCAGCACGACCCTTTGAGCGATCTACTATCAGAAGCAGGTCTTTTAAAAAAATAAATCGAGCCTTGAGTGTTCTTCGGAGGACAAAGAGTGGGAGTGCAGTTGCCAACCAAGCTGAGGAGAGCAGGGGAAATTCTGAGAATACTGCTGCCCCTGAAGGTAAATGAACTCCACCGAAGGACTGGCCGCCGGTTCCAGTTACCTGGGGGCTGGTGGCAACTTGTCCACTACCCGCCCTCTATAACCACTCTCTTCCCAAGGACATAAGATTTTTTTTTTTATCCTAAATCTCATGTAAGTAACTAAAGGCAGAAATATTGTTTTCTTTTTACATTGCTTGAAGGGAAAGGTGTTGGAATCCTTACCTCTCGCGCTAGTGTTATGCCTATCCATTTTTTTTTTAATTATTTTAAGACAGAGTCTCATTCTCTTGCCCTGGGTAGAGTGCTGTGTCATCTTAGCTCATGAAAACCTCTTGCTTCAGCCTCCAATAGCTGGGACTGCAGGTGCCCACTACTACACCCAACTAATTTTGTTCTATTTTTAGTGAGACAGGGTCTCCCTCTTGCTGTGGCTGGTCTCAAATTCCTAGCTCAAGGGATCCACCTGCCTCAGCCTCCCAGAGTGCTAAGGTTACAGGTGTGAGCCACCACACCCAGCCTGTTATGCCTATCAGGATGAATAATTATAGTTACTGAGTGAAAAGCATTTAAAACAGCACCTGCACACAGTACATGCTTGTAGGTATTTACTCTTTTTCCAGCTGTGCTTTAGGAGCCATGATGAGTGTTTCACTTGCCTTTCCTCATTTAAACCTCACAACAACCTCACAACAACCCTATAAAATAGCTACCACTGTTAGCCCTGTTTTACAGATAAAGAAAGAGAGGAAAGGGAGTTTACTACCTTGTTCCTAATTACCTTGCTGAACTTTGGATCCTGCTAAAGTGGCTCTAGAATTCATGCAAAGGAAGTTACTGGACCTTAGATTCTCCTTAGATCTTTTGTGTTTTCCCCAGTGTGAATGAAGCTGAGGAAATATGTCCCACTCTTCTCTTTTCATTTTATATTAGAACTTTAGAGTAATAATAATAATTTTGAAAAATTGAGTTCTTCGGCTCGGCGCCTGTGGCTCAAGCAGCTAAGGTACCAGCCACATACACCTAAGGTGGCAGGTTCGAATCCAGCCCGGACCCGCCAAACAACAATAATGGCTGCAACCCAAAAATAGCCGGGCTTGTGGCCGGCGCCTGTGGTCCCAGCTACTTGGGAGGCGGAGGCAGGAGACTCGCTTGAACCCAGG